CATCTACTGCCCGGGTCATAGTAGAAGGTGGTGAGGAGTAGAGTGAGGAACATATTGGCGAGCCCGCCATGTACCTCTGGCACTCGTAGTCAATGTACATCTCGCTGTCGCGCTCAGCCTGCTTCTTTTGCTCGACCAGTTCGGCTTCAAACTTCTCCGTCTCATTCTCTACACTACTGCCAAACTGAACTCTAGATACTCCCGTCTTGCCGTATGGATTCGTTCGATTCGATCGCGGGGTCATAAATCCTTTTCCTTTTTGAGTACGAAGCCGTCCGATTTCACCTTCATAATGCTGCGTGCGAGCTTCTGCTGATCGGATTGCCTCAACAAGCTGCTGTTGTCGTTCTTCATCGTGCTGACGCTGCTCCGCTAATTCAAGCCAAGCCTTCTGGTACCGCTCGTCGTTCTCAGTCTTCATCTCCTGCACCTCCTTGAGCTCACAAGCCACTCTTGCCAGCTGGCTGCGCTTCCATTGCTCCATGTCCTCGGTATCCTTCTGATGCTTGGCTTTGTCCATCTCCATGAACGCCTGGCGCTGCTCGTTAACCTCCTCTGACCGACGCTGGAGCTGCTGCATGATCGTCGTGATCTTGGCCATCTCCTCCTGACCGAAACGCTGAACTTCCATTTCACGGCTTGCCAGCTGCTGCCTCTGATGTGCTAATTCTTGTTGCTCTCCACTGTGCTCGCGACGCCCGCACTCAATCTGGACCTGCAACTGCCTGTTCTGCTGCTGTAACATTAAATTATGCTGATGCGCTGCTGCCGCTGCCCTCTGCTGTTCCAGCCATTCATTGTGTCTAGCTGCCTTGCATTCACTCTCATAGACCTTGGCCTGCTCCTTCGTGAGTAATTCTGTCCTTGGCACCGATTTGGCCACCGATGTTGCTGCCACGGAGCTGCTGCTGTCGACCGTCATGTGATTATCTGCATCCCTGAGGGGTGGCTGCGGCGTCATCTGCGAGAGCGGTATCTGTGGAGCTGCCGTCGTCGGCGCCTGTGTAGCTGGGGTCTGCATCTGCCCTGGTATTGACATAGCCACAGGAGTATCTTGCCGACCTTGTGGATACTCTTTGTGAAACACCTGTAGGCCGACTGGAAGCGGCTGAGGTGTCTGCTGTGAACTGAGTGAGGGCATCGGTGCACGTGATGACAAGAAAGCCGATCTGCCTGTCGAACTCCCTGGCGTACCTCCCGTCGGTATATATGCACTCGTGCCACCGTATGGATCCGTTCTGGCTGGTGAAGCTGAAGGCCGCCGAGCCTCGTCCTGAGCTGGATTCTGCACTCCCAACTGCTGTACTGTACCTTGACCTCTAGAGACTTGCCCCTGCGGCTGTCTCAACGAGGCCTGACAGCGTAAGTGTTTGCCGTCCACGATTGGGGTTGGGTCTCGACTCGAAGGAAATGGCGGAGGTGGCGGCGGAGGTGGTGGTGGTGGTGGGGGTTGCTCTGCACCGTCTGCTCGGAGATCCTTCTGCAGCGCCACCCTCCTGTCGTGACCAATATCAGCCTCCGTGCTTGATAATTCTGCTGTGTCTGCCTCTCCTTCAGCTGCTTCTCGAAATAAATCACGATAGTAATCCAACATCGTCTCCTCATAGAGAACCTCCTGCTTCAGTGCCGATATTTTGCCCTCGATCTTGTGCAGCTTCTCCTCCGTCTTCGTAATATTGTCCTTCGCTTCCCTGCGTTGAATAGCACATGGCTTGAGTTGCCACATCATCCACTTCATAACACTCAACTCCTTCTCTTGGGTAATCACACATGTTCCCAACCGCCGCCCGTGTACAATGACCTCTGCCGTTCTATGCATCCTCTCCTCCAAAGACTTCCGATACTTGGCTGTGTCGGACTTCGGCGGTGGGCTGTAAATGGAGTGATTCATGGCGTACTTGCTAGTGCTCATCATCGTCTCCTCCAGAACCTTAGCAGTCTCATTCTTGAATGTAGCACTATCTCGATCACGACGACGTTGATCCGCCTGCTTCTGCATTTGCTTCCTCCACGTGTTGTTGCAGCTCTTCTTCACGCATTGCCATGACGCTGGTTCGTTGGTCTGGCCGCAATCGATACAAGTCCATCTGCCTGGCTTCGCCATGCTGGAGTGGTGCGCCGCCAGAAGCTTCTGCGCCTTCGTGACTCTGAGAAGAATCCTCGCCTGAGCTCGCTGTCGACGGCGACGCCGATGTGCAGCGCCCTCAGGGCGTTTGGCCGTCTGGCCTGCTCCTGGCGGGCGGCCCGCCGCGCGCGACCTCGCGCGCAGTCTGGCCCGCCGCGGGCTGCCGCCAGGGGCTGCCGCCGCTGCAAGGGATGTGGGGGTGTCCTCCCCCTCGCTGCAGCCCCTATCGCGGCCGCCGCGCTGCCGCCCGCCCACGCGTGGGGCGGCGTCCGCCCCACCCCGAGTGGGCAAACGGCTCCTCCTCCTCCTCCTCCTCCTCCTCCTCCCTCCTCCTCCTCTCCTCCTCCTCCTCCTCCTCCTCCTCCTCCTCCTCCTCCTCCTCCTCCTCCTCCTCCTCCTCCTCCTCCTCCTCCTCCTCCTCTCCTCCTCCTCCTCCTCCTCCTCCTCCTCCTCCTCCTCCTCCTCCTCCTCCTCCTTCCTCCTCCTCCTCCTCCTCCTTCCCCTCCTCCTCCTCCTCCTCCTCCTCCTCCTCCTCCTCCTCCTCCTCCTCCGTCGAAGCCAGATGCTATGTGACACGAGGAATTGTCCCCCCGTCCGCGCAAGTGGTGGAAGCCTGCAAGGCGAATGCGCGCGCCGCAAAAGTGATGTCCAGCTGTCCGAGTGAGCCGCCCTACCTACAGATGGCTAGCGTGTGGACACTGCTCAGACGAGTGTGTGGACAGGGCGGGAGCCACATCTTGAAATGAAAATGCCCCTTCACCCGTGCAACTGTTGGAAACATTTGAAACGCATGTGCGCGGCGCTATACATAAGAGCCGCACCTCGAAAAATCGTTGCCCTTCATCCGTGCAGCTGTGGACGGTTTTTAAGATGCATGAGCGTGGCGTTACGGCCAGAGCCGCATGCTGAAGACACAACCCTGCATCTCTGTATCTCTTGCCAGCATTTAAGACGAGTGCGCGCGGCGCTATGGGCGAGAGCCATCTTTCGAGAACGACGTGTACCCCATGTTGACCCCTGGAGACCACTTCCACTGCACACGGCTGTTCATCAGAAGTCTCGTTTGACGGTCTTGGGCGGAACGGGCCTCAGGACGCCGAGTGTTTTTCGTACACAGAGTGCTCAATTTGTCTCGCGTCGGCGGAGGTCCAGGAACGGGGCGGCTTTCCCATTGAGGCACAGGGTTTTTGGCCCGGCGGCGCGCCAGTCTGGGGGCAGGGCGCTCGAGATGCCCTTGCGAAGTTCGGTTCGGTGACAGCTCTTCTGAGGCTTACTTCAGCATCGGCGCTCGAAGTTCGTTCTACTCTGGCCTCATCCCGCTCAGTCTGGCTTAACATGGCTCAGCCTGGCTTAAGATTCAGTTCAGTCTGCCTTAACCTCTCTGGCTTGGGGGCCTTTGGCTTCACAGGTCGTGCCCACACAGACCTCCCAGGAGTTGCCTCCCAAGGTCAGGGGCTTCGAGAAGCCCCCCCCCCTCTCCTGAAGTTCTCGAGGAGCGAACATCTACACATGAACGTTGACTTGCAACGGTGTGTGCGGATTTCTTGCATGGTTGCTTGAATCCCTTGGAGACGCTACCCATGGCGGAAGTTTCCGACATCTACGTGGGGTTCATTTGTTTCCCAAGAAGGGTCGCTTGCCGTCTTCTGCTGGCCGCCCATCCTGACCGTCAAGAGGGCGGTTTCTGCTCAGGGGGGCAGGAAGACGGCCCGATCTCGTTTTCGTCTTCCTTCACCCTTCTGGAGGTTGGAAGGAGTATGAGAGAAGACGGAGAGGACGAGGGAGAGAGGGAGGACAAGGAGGTAGGAACATATACACGAGGAGGGTGACGAGGAGGGAGGACCCTGTCTCCTCTTTCACTTCCTCGTCTTCTTCCCTGCCTCCCTCGAGGAACCGTCGAAGACGTCCGAAACATTCAGAGCTCAGCAAAACATCAGGCGCTTGTCAGCGTGTCCTTCCCCAGCAGTGAGTGATTGCACTGTGGATGTTTGCGAGCCATGTGGTGCAAGCTACGTGGTGTAAGCTATGTGGTCCAGCACCTGTTCTGCAAGCGACGTCTCGTAAACCATGTGGTGCAATTTACGTTGTGCAAGTTATGACTCGCAGGTGCAAGCTATGCGATGCAATACCTATACCTATACATATATATATATATAGATATATATAGATGTGTGTGTGTGTGTGTGTGTGGCGCACGCTATGCGGTGTAAGGTGTACGGTGCAAGCTGTGCAGTGCAACTGAGTTGTGTGCTGTACGATCCACGGTGTAAGCTACGTGGTGCCAGATGTTTGGTGCCGTCTGCGTGGTAAGAGCAGTGTGGTACAGCAGAAGTGGCCGTGCGGCGCTCGAGGCGCCCACGGGCAGGCACCAGGCGACGCTTCGGCTGACGCGCCGTGCGCACGAGGCGGGAACCAGGCAAACCATTGGCTGACCCATCCGATCCCCAAACAAAAAGGCGAGGCAGAAGCCCTGAGTGCAAACACTGCTCGGGGACAACTCTTCCCTCATCCTTCCCTCCTCGCCCGCCCCCCTCCTCGACTTCATCCTCCCGTATCCGATTGAAGCCCATGTGATTCGACCCCTGATCGTCGATCGGGGGTGGTTCTCGGCTCTGCGAGCGATTCGCGAGATCCCGATCTCGCCCTGCATTTACGTTTGATTCGTTCAGACCGGCATATCTGAACTAGCTCAGCCTCTAGGTTTTGAGGTCACACCGGCCGCGGTCGGCTAGCAACCAGACCAGCTCCGAACCCAGCGCCATCCATCTTTATCATCCCGTGGCCTCATCCAACTCTTCCCCAACGTTCTCGACCTCTCTCGTCATCCTCTCTTCTCCTCCTCTTTATTTCCCTGTGACTTGCAGTCAGCCAGCAGGCGGTCGGTCTTCCGCCTCGCGACCACTGGTCGCCTTGGGCGTCGAAAGCGGGGGAGCAGCAGTCCATCCGCCGTCCCACACCCCATCGCGCCGTGCAGATATCACGGCGGAAGGCTGTTGGCAGTTCTCGGCTTCGGGGAGGGGGGCTCATCTGGACCCGAAGCCGTCAGTCGGCGGCGAGCCCCGGGGGTGGAGTGAGAAGGAGAAGGCCTTCTCAGAAGGCTCGGAAGTCCTTCGGCCGTCTGAGGAAGTCACCCGAGCCTGCACCGAAGGCGCAGAAAATTGTTCAGAAGTCGCGAAGGTTTCTGAGAAGCCCCGCCGCCATTTGAGAATGCCTACTCCTTCGCACTTCTCCCCTCGCTCGTCGCCGAGTCAGAGAACGAAACAGGATGAGAGCCCGCTCCCCGGGAAGGGGTTGAGACTTCTTCGGCTGTGCGCAGGAGTGATGTGTCGCGGGAGTGGTCTGAAATTCAGTGTAGGCCAGCAGTTGTCCTCAGGACCAGTCTGCGCGGTTGGACTTGCCCGCACCACCCACTTCTGAAGCGGCCCCCTAAAAGCCGCGCACCACCGGTCTTGCCCAGGGTTGCCGCTCTTGCGTGTAGCCGACCCTTGCTTGAGACAGTCACGACGACAGAGGCCTGTGCTCCTCCTTGCGGCAAGCTCGCGCCGTCCCGCGGGCGGTCGAGGTTGAACATCCTCCAGGGGTCGGCTCCGGGCCCTAAGACCCACAGAGAACAGCCCAGGCCATGTTTACACGCAGGTTCTGGCAAACTTGCCAATCGCTCGTTGAAGGTATGTGTATTTGCAATCCCAGGCTCCAATCTACCATAGGCGCCTTCCAATTTCAAGAGTCGAGTGGCTTCCCCCGCATTCCTACTTCATGCCCCTACCGAGCTCTTCCGATCGATAGATGCTTGCGTGACAATTTTATGTTAGTGTCATTTCCCCCTCCCTTCGCAGCCTGGTCGTTCAGCACTGGGCCGAAACATCGCAAACGCTTGTCTGATCTCCAGCATTTCTGTAGGTGTCTGATCGGGAGCACTCACGGCAAACAATTTCCCGAGACGTGCCCGGCCCCTTCTCCACGCGAGGCGATCATTTGTAGGAGCGCTCCATGCAGAAGAACACATCGCCGAGATGCGCACGATCTGCGCTGCTCCGCCCTCCGCCGTGCCTCTGAGCAGCCCACGAAAGCGGCGAGGGCTGTGCAGTTCGCAACCCCGGAGGAAGCCGCGAGGTCACAAATGACCTGCGCTGCCCTCATCTCCGCCGCGCCTCCCAGGAGCCCACGGAAGTGGCGACAATTGCGCAGTTCGCAGCCCCAGAGGGAGCCGCGAGGTCTCGAAGCTTGTCTGCGCTGCCCCTGGAAGGACCCCACGAAAGTGGCGACAGTTGACCAGTTCGCAGCCCCCGTGGAGAGCCGCGAGGTCTCGAAGTGATCAGCGTTGCCCTCACCGCCGCCGTGCCTCCCAGGAGCCTAAGAAGGCGGTGATAGTTACGAAGTTCGCAGCCCCCGAGGGGGCCCCGAGGTTTCGAAGTGACCCGCGTTACTCTCACATCGGCCGTGCATCCCAGGACGACAGTGGCGGCAGTTGCGCTGCCCGCAGCCCCAGAGGGTCGCGCGAGCTCTCGCCTTCGTCCGTGCGGCCCTCCACTCCGCCGCGCCTCACAGGAGCCCACGAAAGCGGCGACAGTTGCGCAGTTCGCATCCCCCGAGGGACGCGGGACGCGCGAGTTTGTCGCCTTCATCCGTGCTGCCCTCCACTCCACCGCGCCTCCTCTTTCTCCCTTCCCTCCTCCCTTTCTCCTGTTTTAGAAGCTGCGCAAACCACACGTGGCAGGTAAGGAAGATGTCTTCCCAAGGGTGGTACGATCGACGACGACGTGGGCGGGTATACAGGGTTCGGGATGTTCATGTTGGGTGGAACGCGATTAGATAAGAGCAAGCAGTCTTACAATTATTAAGTTTGAATTAGTAAACACTTATGATTGCTGGACCCCCTCTCTCTATATATAGAGATCTCTCTCTACATATATATATATATGTGTATATATAAGTATATATACACATATATATATGCCCTGACGTTTTCGCCGCGGCGCCAGCTGCATGTCCTTCGAAATTGAGGCTCACGCTCAAGCGTTTCGAGAGTGCGCCCAAACCGGCCCCCAAACAACAAAAACATCGCTTTCGCTCGACATGTCGTCACTTTTCGCTCAGGGCCGGTACCCTTGCCCGCCGCCGAAAACGGGCCCTCCGACAACAAAACCAGCGCTCACGTTTTTTTTTCTCGCTGTTTGCTCTGGTGTGGCGTTCGCGCTCTGGGCCCGCAAACCGACCCCCCCACAACAAAACAATTACGTTCCCGCTCGATATGTCCTCGCTGTTTACTCAAGACTGGCGCGCTTGCTTGCCGCCGAAAACCGACCCCCCAACAAGATCAGCGCTCCCGCTTGATAGTCATTCGTTTTACCTAGGAATTGTGTCCGCGCCTTGGCGCCGCAAGCGGGCCCCCCTTCAATGACGACGCTCCCGCTCAATATTCCTCAAGTTTAACTCAAGAGTGGAGCCCTTGTTTCGGCATCGCCTCTGGAGGACTTCCAGGCGGCCCCAGGAGGGTTCCGACAAGGCCGTTGCAGAGGCACCACAAGGGTCCCGAAGAGGCGCCGGTTAATTTTCAAGGGTGCCCCAAGAGGCCCTCGGACTGCCCAAGAGAGCCCCAAGGCGGCTCAGGAGGCCGCCAGGACGACCCGAGGGAGGCCCCAGGTATTCGAATTGCAGGTGGCAAAATGCCTCGTAAGAGGTGTTGGCAAATCATTGTTGGACGGGAGATCAGGGTAGGGGAATGGCGGGCCCCCGATGCATGAATGAAGTTTCCCATGAAGGGGGAGTTATCAAGAATAATGCATGCTGCAGATTGGATCATTGCACATTGTGGCACAATGATGGTTGTTGTTTGTTCGTCGTCAGTCGCCAGTCGTCGTCGTTCGTCGTTCGTCGTGCTTCGCCGTCGTTCGTTCGTCCGCTCGTAGTCGACAGAAGGGTTTTCCTCGAGCAGCGCTCCCCTGCCAAGTAAGTGGTTGGGCGTGCCGGGGTTTCGCCACGTTGCTTGCCGCCCGCATGCGCCGCGTGGGCGCCCCGTACGCTGGCCGGCTGGCTGGGTCGGGGGTTCGCCACAGGTTCCGCCGTGGGCGCCTCGTGGGCGCCCCGTGCGCCGATGGGGTGGGCCGGGGAGTTGCCACGTTTTCCGCCCGTGGGCGCCCCGTGGACGCCTCGCGGGCCTGCACAGCGTGCAGTGCGCAGGCTGTGCACCACGCGGCACCACGCGGATCGCGCCGCACAGCTTGCGCCACGCCGCCTGCGCCGCACAGCCTGCGCCGCACCGCATGCACCCCACAGCTTGCGCCACACATCAGGGAACTCTAGAGGAAACCCTAAACCCTAAACCCTAAACATAAGCTGTAAACCCTAAACCCTAAACCCTAAGGCGCAGACCTTCTGGATGGCTGAAGGGGCCACCAAATGCGAGCGGGCGCGCACAGAGTTGAGTTTGAATTAGGTTCCCGCCGAATTCAAACTCAACTCTGTGCGCGCCCGCTCGCATTTGGTGACCCCTTCAGCCGCTCCCAGACCCAGGGCGCAGGGCGTCGGGATGGCTGGAGGGGCCACCAAATGCGAGCGGGCGCGCACAGAATTGAGTTTGAATTAGGCGGGAACCTAATTCAAACTCAACTCTGTGCGCGCCCGCTCGCATTTGGTGGCCCCTCCAGCCACCCCGACGCCCTGCGCCCTGGGTCTGGGGGCGCCAGAGGGGCCACCAAATGCGAGCGGGCGCACAGCAATTCAAACTCAACTCTGTGCGCGCCCGCTCGCATTTGGTGACCCCTTCAGCCGCTCCCAACCCAGGGCGCAGGGCGTCGGGATGGCTGGAGGGGCCACCAAATGCGAGCGGGCGCGCACAGAGTTGAGTTTGAATTAGGCGGGAACCTAATTCAAACTCAACTCTGTGCGCGCCCGCTCGCATTTGGTGGCCCCTCCAGCCACCCCGACGCCCTGCGCCCTGGGTCTGGGGCGCCAGAGGGGCCACCAAATGCGAGCGGGCGCGCACAGAGTTGAGTTTGAATTAGGTTCCCGTAATTCAAACTCAACTCTGTGCGCGCCCGCTCGCATTTGGTGACCCCTTCAGCCGCTCCCAGACCCAGGGCGCAAGGCGTCGGGATGGCTGGAGGGGCCACCAAATGCGAGCGGGCGCGCACAGAGTTGAGTTTGAATTAGGCGGGAACCTAATTCAAACTCAACTCTGTGCGCGCCCGCTCGCATTTGGTGGCCTCTCAGCCGCCCCTGGACCCAGGGCGCAGGGCGTCGGGATGGCTGGAAGGGGCCACCAAATGCGAGCGGGCGCGCACAGAGTTGAGTTTGAATTAGGCGGGAACCTAATTCAAACTCAACTCTGTGCGCGCCCGCTCGCATTTGGTGGCCCTTCATCCATCCCGAAGCCCTGCGCCGTAGGGCCTAAACCCTAAACCCTAAACCCTAAAGCTGTCATGGACATAAGCTGTCGGAGGTCCGTACTGATTGCCTGGATCGGCGCTGGGCCCTCCTCCCTGGCGCGCGGAGCGCGCCCTTTGGGCCTCCGGCGCCGACCCGAGAAGTCCGCAGGGAATGCGGTCGTGTATGTCTATGCCACTCGTTCGCCCCCCGAGCAGGAATGGTACGGTGCATAGTTGTTGTTGCGGCCCCCAGGGCCAGACAGTGATGCACCGTGCCGCGTTGGAGCGGGGCCGGAAGGGAGTCCAAACATGTCACGGTGCACACGATTCTGGGCTCGTGTTCGTGCCTCCCCTTCTTTGCCCCCTCCTCCCTCCCTCCTCCTCCCTTTGTTTGCTGTCTGCTGCAGCCTGCGTTCTTTCTCCGCTTTCTCTCTCTTTTTTTTTTCTCTCCTGTTCTTCGTGCTCCTCGTTCCTCTTGTCTGTTGTGTGTCTCTCTCGTCTCCCCCCGTAACCTCACAGCTCGCGCATCTGGCGGGCAGCAGCCCACTGCCTGGGGCCCGCAGCGGGCAGCCGCCCTCGGTCGAGTAGTCTGCCTCGCCTCGTCCGCTCGGCGCGCCCGCGCGCGCCCCCCCCCCCCGACCCGGAGGTCACGGCAGCCCGCGGGCCTCCTCCCGGGCTGCTGCCTCCTCGGACCTGGAGGAGGTGCCAGAGCAAGGGCGCCCTTGAGGGCGCGAAGTTATTCGCGCTTCGCGGTTCGGCTCCGATTTCTCCTCGTCCTCCTCTTCTCCCCTGGGAGGCGGCGCGAGAGCGCGAAGTTATTCGCACTTCGCGCTTCGCGCAGCGCGAAGCGCGAAGTTGGGAGCCCTTACAGAGTGAGGGAGGGGGATCACCGCCCACCAAACCACCCCAACCCCACCCCGAAGGCCCCCATTTGCCGTCCGTTTCCAGTGGGGGGGGGGGGGGGGGAACACTGGAAGACACATATGTGAAGGCCGCAGCCCCCCAACCCGAGGTTCCGGCGAAATTCGGGTCTTCGGGTTGGTTCGGGTGTTTTGGCAGGTAGTCAGGGGAGGGAGGGGAATGCAGGGTCGGCGGCGAGCGAGGGGAGGAAGTGAGAAGGAGAAGGCCTTCTCAGCAGAAGGCGGCGGGACCTCTCAGAAGCCCCCGCGCCTTCTGAGAAGTTGTCTCTCGAGGTCTGCGGGAGTTGGCGTCGGATCTCGGAGTTTTCCTGGCCCCGGGCCTCGGACTGCTCTCCTAAAGCTGTGCCTCGCCGAGAGCCGTCCAGGGGTGTCGGATCATCCCGAGCGAACGCTTGATGCTTGAGTGATGGCCCGAAAACCAGCGAGCGGACGGTCATGGGCAACCTTAGGGGGGATAGGCTCAGGGCAGCACGCATCCACCCCAATCGCCTACTCATCTCCGAGAGGAGCCCGATAGCCCATCCCTCCCGGGAAAGTGTGGACTTAGATATCGGGGGCGCTACTATCGGCGATGCATCGCCGATTCCAGGTCGATGCTCCCCTCCCCCTGAGCTGGTCTCCCCCTTATCGTTGCCCCTCATGCGGAGGGAGGGGAAGGCAGGGAGGAGGGGCGAGCGAAGGAGGGAGGGACCACTTGGGGCGGAGGGCTCAAAATATCGGTTCGTGTTCCCCCTCTCGGACCTCTTTTGGGGCTGGCTTGGGGCCCTCTTGGGCCGTCTGGGCCGTCTTAGGGCCGAAAAGGCGGGAACACAAGCATTTGAAACACGCATCAGGGAAATCCATGATTCGGGCATCTCGGTGCCCGCTGGTGGCCTCTTGGATTCTTCTTGGGGCGTCGTCGGGGCCTCTTGAGCAGTCGGGGGGCTTCTTTTTAGGCGTGCTGGAGAGATTCCCTGGCGACTCGGAGCAGCCATGGGCCGCCTTCGGAGCCCCTTGGGGCCCTGCTGGCCCGCCTTCGAGCACCCCCTGCCCCTGGACAAGTCATGCGAGGAACCACCAGGAGCGCGCGGGAGCGCCCCACCTCTCGGGGCCCTCCGGGCTCGCCTCAGAGCAGTCCTACCCCTGGACACGTCCTGCGGGGAAGCACCAGGGGCGCGCGGGAGCGCCCAGCAGCGCCAGAGCTCGGGGCTGCGCGCCTCAGGGCGCAGCGGCGGAGGTGTGCGAGCTCGACTTGGCCTCGCTCGGACGTGTCCACTCTTTTTCTCGGCAAGGGCCATCGCGTTATAATGTTCCAGCCTACTTTAGCCTTGATCACCAGAAAGACGTTCAAGCACTAAGAAAGTACCGAGTCTGAGGGGTTTTCACGTGTCGGGCTCTGGGAGGCGGCACTCGTTCGGCACTGTTTCGATACGTTTCTGGGTGCTCGAAACTGTTTCTGGGATGTGGTACTTGAGTGCGATAGGAGCTATATAACCATCGAGGAGCATGTTGTGTCGCCCTGCGCAAACACGCACGCACGAAACAGAAAAGAGCATGTGGAGTGGGCGTAGGAGCGACGGCAAGTGTACGGGGGGGCTCTACGCTAACCTGGAGGAGTAATGCAGCTCTTGCGCGCGGGCCCGTCTCCCCGCAGCCCCGTGTGTGTGTGTGTGTGTGTGTGTGCGTGTGTGAGTGTGCGTGTGTGTGTGTGTGTGTGTGGTGTATGTAGGTGTGTGCGTGTGCGTTCGCGTGTACGTGTGCGTGCCCCGATCGCCAGAGCAGTCATCCTCTGCCCAGCCGCCGACGCAAAAAGTGTTTGTGCGTGTGCGTGTGCGTGTGCGTGCGTGTGCGTGTGCGTGTACGTGTGCGTGTGCGCGCGCGCGTGCGGGTGTGTGTGTGTGTGTGTGTGTGTGCGTGTGTGTGTGTCTGTGTGTGCGTGTGTGAGTGTGCGTGTGCGTGTGCGTGTGTGTGTGTGTGGTGTGTAGGTGTGTCCGTGTGCGTGTGGTGCGTGTGCGTGTGCGTGTGCGAGTGCGCGTGCGCGCGCGCGTGCGTGCGTGCGTGCGGTGTGTGTGTGTGTGCATGTGTGTGCGTGGGGGGGGAGTGTGGGGGGGAAGTGTGGGGGTGGAGTGTTGGGGGGGAGTGTGTGGTTTGTAGGTGTGTAGGTTTTGTCGGTGTGTAGGTGAGTGTAGGTGTGTATGGAGTGTATTGTGTGTATATGGTGTATATGGTGTGTACGTATGTGTATGGTGTGTGCGTGGTGTGTAGGTGTGTGTAGGTGTGCGTGTGTGCGTATGTGTGTGTGTGTGTGCAAGTCCATGTGTAAGCATACAGCACACACGTGAGAAACACATACACGTTACAACAAGGTGTCATTGTGCCCTTCTCCTTTGCTCAAGCTTTTTGGGGGAGGGAAGATAGTAGTCGCAGAGGACGAGGAGGGGGAGGAGCAGCAGTAGCATGAGGAGCAGGAGAACGAGGAGGAGCGGAAGAGGTGCTGGAGATGGTGGCGAGCATCGCCAGCGAGCAGCAGAGGCTGTGCGAGGAGGTGAGGCGGCCGTTCGAAGCCCCGAGGGAGTGCAGATGAGGGGAGTGGGGAGAGGCGACGGGCGAGGATTTGGGCCCACGGTGGCCCAAGAGGCGACCCAAGGTGGGCCCAGGGCGTCTCCATGCAGCCCAGAGAGGCCCCCAAGCAGGCCCAGAGAGGGTCCCCAAGCGGGCCCATGCAGCCCAGAGAGGCCCAAAGAGTTTCCCCAAAACGGCCCAAGAGACGAGGGAATGGCTCTCCTCGTCCATCCCTCTCTCCCTCGTCTTCCCTTTCACCCGCTTCCCTCCTTTTCCGTCTCCGACTCCCCCAGTCCTCGTAGCCGAGGGAGGAGGGAAGAGAGGGGAGCGATGTTAGGTCCGACGATCTTGAGCAGCGGTCGCTCGTACGTGTTCGGAGGTTCCAGTTTATCTCCTGAGGCTGTTCGGAGGTTTCGGGGGTCAGAGGTGTGGAGTTTTCCTCCTGCTCCGCCTCCTCCTCCTCCTCCTCCGGCACTCTTGCACTCTCTCTCTCCTCGTTCCCCTCCTTTCCTCGTCCCCCCCCCCTTCTTCTCCCTATCCTTCTCGTCTGATTCCCAATTCCCCCTTCTCCTCCCAGCGGGTGGGAGCGAGGGAGGAAGGAGAGAAGGAGAAACAGGAGAAGGAAGGGTAAGTAGGGAGGAGAGGGAGGAGGAGGAGGAGGAGGAGGAGGAGGACGAGGAGGACGACAACGACGAAGAAGAAAGAGTGGAGGGGATGGGTGGGGACCAGCTTCGTCAAGGTTGCTGCAGGATTTTGGCGAATATCGGTGGTGCCCAGAGCATAGATGGATGGTCATGGAGGTTTCTATAAGTTTGGGTTCCTGGAGATTCGGTCGTTAATTGCAGTCCCCAGGACGTTTCAGGGTCATAAGCTAATTGTGGGGAGGTCTCAGGCGAAACGCCCAGCCCGCCCTATGTCACGTTTGGCAGTGCGACGAGGTGCAGACGCTTGGTGGCAAGGGAGAGCGAGGAGGAGGACGACGACGACAGGATCAGAAGGGGGAAGTGCAGGAACAGGTGGCGAAGCAAGAGGAGAAGGAGGAGGAAGAAAAAAAGGAGGAGAAAGGAGGAAGGCCCGCTTCAGATACCCTCGCCGCCGGGTGGCGTTCCACCCTGGTCGTGCTCGGCCTAGGCAGGCTTCAGCGGGATGGACCCGTGGCCGGAAGCCCAGCCTTGCTGAGAGCACTCCTGTCCAGCGCCGAGGACGGCTTCGTGGGCGTGCGGCTCGAGTGAAACCGTAAGCAGACCCGGAGAGGGAAGGAACATGTTATTATGCCAACATCGCAGAGCGGATTCGTTCGGAAGACCGGAGTGTCCTGGAGAATTTCGTTCCGAATTTCGAAGTGAATTTCGTGCGGATGTTTCTGGGCCAGGAATGAAGACTAAAACAAATCCACGTGAAATTCATGTTGTTTTTCGCTGGCTGGTTCGGGGTTTTGCACTGACAGAAATCCACGCAACAATTCGCTGCAGCACGTCTCCAAGGTCGGTGCAGTGAAAGATGTGGAGGGGACTTCTGATGTTGCGCAAGCTTGAGTCCTCGGATTTTAGCGTGCTTGTGGATGGGGACTCTTCCCCCCAGTCCTGCTCCGATTTCCACGAGAGAGCGCCAGTGGGGCGCCGCTTGCCGACAGCCCCGCGCTGACGCCCATCGCGGACAGCCTTCGCGCGCCGCAGGCGCTCCGACCCCCTGGCACGGTGCGCCGATGGCCGACGGGACAAGGCTGACCCCCACCGATGTTTCACGCTGATTGGCCTGTCCATCGTGGAACTGACAAGGACGTAAACATAAACACTCGGAGGTCCGCGCGAAGGGGGAGGCCTTCCAAGAAGGCAGGGGGGACTTCTGAGAAGGCGGGGACCTTCTCAGAAGGGCCCAGAGGCTTCTGGAACGTCTTCTTCGAAGCCTCAGAGTCCCTCGTGCGCGCCGCCAATGTTCGCCCGACCCGACAGGTCGAAGAGATGAAGTTGCAGGTAGAAAGTCACCCCTTTGCTCTCTCGCCCCTGTGCTCTCCATCACGCCCTGGTGGTCACAGGCGAGCTCCCCCCAAAGGAGCACGCACGACTCCGGCCTCCCATTCGCTTCCCCCCTGGCCGACCCGACAGGTGGCAGAGATGCAGGAGCAGGTGCGCGAGTTCAAGGCTTAGTATCGTTTAACCGCCCCTCATCCCCATCCCCATGCCGAATCCCGCCATCTCACCATCCCAGTTGGGGACACCCCTCGAAGCCCGAAGGAAATGGCCTAGTCATATCCCCAGGCCACGTCGATGAAAATTAAAATCTGTCAGACGATGCCCTCAGGCCCAGGCGGCCCCAGCGGGCCCCCCCGCGGGCTCCGCCGCGCCGCCGTAGGGCTCCGGAGCCGCCGCCCGCGGAGGTCCGCGGCTGCGCTGTCGGCCGCCTTCCTCGGCTTCTGTGCGGGCTGCAGCCCCGTCGGCGGAGGCACGGTCGATCAAAGCATGTAGTTTTACTGCCTTCTTGTCTGATGGCCGAGTTTCCACCACCACTACCCTTGGTGGGCCCTGAAGACGACAAGGCCGTCGTTTTACCGGTTCCGTTGCAGTGTTTGTTGTTTCCAGTTCTGGTCCTTGTTCCATGCACGTGTTGTTTTGCAGTTGTTGGTTGCCGTTTCTTGTTTGCCACTTCCACTTTCATTTTTGTTCGGAATTGGTGATACAAACGGCCCTGCCGATTCCGGGGCCCATTAAGCGTTTCCTTACCTTGTTGCTTGATAGGCCGATCTTTCCACCACCACTACCATATGCAGGAGACGGAGGCGCAAGAGGAGGAGGAGGAGGAGGAGGAGGAGGAGGAGGATCTCCCCATCCTCTTTTTTCTCCCGTCCTACCTATGGTAGTAGTGGTGGAGAATTGGCCCATCGTTGTCGGCGGCGAGCGAGGGGGAAGTGAGTCAGAGGGAGACTTTTCAGAAGGCGACGGAGCTGCTCAGAAGCCCTCCAGCCTTCTGAGAAGCTCTCTGTTCCCTCGGGGAATGCTAAGACAATTTTCTCAGAAAGCCAGAGGCCTTCAGAGCCTTCTGAGAAGACCTGCCCATTCTCACTTCCCCCCCAGGCTGCCGCCAGGGCTGCCGCCATTTCTTGTTCGCCTCCAGCACCGTGGAGCCCCCAACGGAGCTAATGAGCTTAGGTCCAGGGGGTGGCGGTTTCACTGCGGACCGCAGCTTCGTCGGCAGAGGCTGGGTAAGGGAGATCGCCATGAAGGAAAGTCAGGGGCAACGCTTCGGGGGGATAGGCCAAGGTTCGAGGTATTCGGACGTTTTCGACGATTCCCCGTGGTTTTCCAGCCTCGGGATGCGTTTCAGCGGCTGCGCCTCGCTGAGGTCGTTCCGAACTCAATGGGCGAAGAACGACATAAAGTAGACTTGTTCGCCGTCGGGCACGCCTGTCCCAGGACGGCTGGAAAGTTTATACCCTTCCCATGGCACGTCAGGGTATAAACTTACCAGCCGCCCTGGGCCAGGCGCCCCTGGTGATGGGCAAGTTTATGTTATACCGTTCTGCGCCCGCTAACGAACGGCCGCCAGAGAGCCGAATTATGATTTGAGAAACCAAGGACAGCGCATGGAAGAGGAGGATTAGCGCAAACACAGGCGATGCAACGATACCGATGCCGATATGGCCGCACCGACGTACCCTAATGTTCTTCGCGCTTGTTGGATGTTCTCGTGTATCCTGGGGGTGTCTACCTTTGAATGTTCTTCAGTTTGGCCTGCAGAGGGTTCAATGTTTTTGTAGGATGCTCTTCTGTCCTGGGTCCGACCGTACTCAAGCCGGGCTAGGGCGAGGATCAATCCGTTCCAGATCGTTCTCGAGCGCTCTCAGGGCGTTCCAGAACGCTGTGAGGAGGCCGCGGCGCCCGAGACCATGCTTCAGAGCCGCCGGATCTTGGAGATTCCCGGTTTATCCTCGTCCGATATTGTCCTCGTCCTGGCATTGTTTTGCGTGCCCCTGCCTCGTGGCCACAGTTGGGTTCGCCTCGAAGTGCTGGTCAGAGTGCGCCCCTGGAGAGGCCCAGGGGCCAGTGGTTTCCCCGTCGGCGTAGGTTGGGGAAGGGAGATCGCTATGAATCGACGGCGAGTGAGGGCGGAAGTGAGAAGCAGCAGGCCTTCAGGCGGCGGGACTTCTCAGAAGCCCCCGCGCCTTCTGAGGAGTTTTCTGTGTCTTCTGGGAAGGCTTAGAAAGCTTCTCAGAAGGCTGGGGGACTTCCAAGCGTTTTGAAAAGGCCCACCCCTTTTCACCTCCTCCCCCTCGCTCGCCGCCAAATGAAGGATCGAGGAAATGTAAGACTCGATTGCTCCAGAACTCGGATTTGCCGACAACTTTTGACGAGCGCGTCCTCCATTTTGACAGTCAGGTGTTCGTGGGATGTGTGCAGCGGGAACTCGCGCGTAGCCCGCCCGACCTTGTCGGATGCCTCCTGCGATTTTGCTTGCGGCCGCGACAAAAAGTATCCCCACCAGTTGGTTCTGCCTTCTGAGTTGACGCCTCGCTGCGCCTGTCTTTCTTTTCCGCTTTCCGCTCTTCCGCTGCCTAGCCGTGGCCCGGCTAAAGTTTGGACGCTTTTTGACCCGCTTCACGAGGCCGTTGACGAGAAAATATTCCCACCCGCTTGGCCTCGCTGATTCCCTACCCACAACACTACTTCGCCCCTGATCTTTACATAGAACGTACCCTCCGCTCCCATCTTCGTGTTTCGCTGGGGCTCGCCGAGGCTTCGTGGAACACGAGTGCATACTAACCGGCCTTGGCATTCTCTTCGAGGTACCAGGCTGCCCATGATGTCCTCCTGGTGCCACGGCCAGGGCTGTCGCTGCGCGCGCCCACGCGCTAGACGATGTCAGGGGCCCGTGGCCCGCCGTCCTAAGAGCAAGGCCAAGATGGAACAAGATCTGCCGATGGGCCTCCGCACGCATCATCCACTAGAAGGTCCCCAGGCCGCTGGCTCTTCGGTCACCACCTGCGACAACGCCGCCGCAATGCTGTGGCAAGGCGCCAATCGCCCCGCGGATCTATTAAGCAAGAGCGCCACTCGAGCAATTTACGTCGGCGTCTGGTGTCGGCTCCACGAGCAGTCGGCGCGCGCCTGGCTTGCCCAAGCCAGCGCCGACAGACGCTGGGCAGCGGGGATAGGTGCGGAGTGGCACCTGCCGAGGCACGTCCCATCATTCACGGCTGCCACCCACGTGCTTCGTTTACTTGCCAACGGCATGCTCGGCCTGGCGCGACGCAGAGGGGTTGCTGACCGACTGCCGCACCAGTGCCGTGCCTGCATGGGGCAGGCCAATCGCGTCTGGCACACCGCAGGCGCACAGAACGCTGGCCCCGCCTGGTGCCACAGTTGTCTGGACGACTGGGCGCGCCCCATCCCGCTCTGGGCAGCGCGACCCGACTCGCACCCCCCCGACGGGCCACGCACATCAGCGGGTGAACTAAGACGAAGTAGGCCCCCTAACCGACCACGGGCGCTAATAAAACATACTCCTCTTTTTAAACCTTCTATATGTATTATCCCCGTCCAACAGGATTTAATTGTGGAGATAGGCGCGGGGACCGAAATTTAGAGATGGAATTTTTATTCGGAAAAACCTAACGCATGTTATTTTCGTCTTTCACCCACCCATCCACCCACAAACATAACTCGCGTTATGTTGCAATAAATGTTCGGCGGAATTGTGGCGACCCCAAGCGCCCCTCAGGGGAGGGCATTGCATTGGAACTGTCCTCAATTTGGAGGAAGCGTCGAGTTAGGACATTCCGTTGGGACTCCGTGAGTTAAGCAGGAATTGTGGCGATAGGCGGCCCCTGTCTTGGGGATCATCTCTGGTTTCGACAAAGAGGGTGGCTTGGGAATGCGCGATGGAGGCAAACTGCAACTTGGGTTGCCTCCTGCCGGGTCGAGTTAGGAAAGGCATTGTATTGGTATTCCGAGAGTTAAGAAGAAATTTTGGCTTTTGGAGCAGGAGGGGCACTTGTCATCAGTTGGGGCATTGTATTTGGCTTCCAAGCGTTAAGAAGGAATTGCTGCATTTGGAAAGGGGGGGCGGCAAAAGGGATGGGGGGATCGCGCGGGGGGGGGGGGCATTGCATTGGAAGTGTCCTGAGTTGGGAGAAAACGTCGAGTTAGGACAAACATTGTTTTGGTATTCCGAAAGTTAAAAAAGGAATTGCGGCGATAGGCGCCCCCTTGCTTTGGGCGCCACCTCTGGTTTAGACAAGGGGGTTGCTTGGGAATGCGCGATGGAGGCAACTGCATTTGGGCTGCCACCTGCTGGAAGTCATGTTAGGAAATGCAATGTATTTGTATTCCGAGAGTTGAGAAGAAGTAGTGGCTTCTGGGTGGGCGGGTGGGCGGTGGTGGTGGTGGTGGTGGTGGTGGTGGCGGTGGTGGTTGTGGCGGTGGTGGTGTGTGTGTGTGTGTGCGTGCGTGTGCGTGTGTGCGCGTTTGTGTGTGTGTGTGTGTGCGTGTGTGTGTGTGTGTGCGCGTGCGTGTGTGTGTGTGTGTGTGTGTGTGTGTGTGTGTGTGCGTGCGTGCGTGCGTGCGTGTGTGCGTGTGTGTGTGTGTGTGTGGGGGGGCATCAGTTGGGGTATTGCGTTGGGCGTCCAAAAGTTAAGGAGGAGCTGTGGCGTTGGATGGGGGGCAAGGGAGGTGGGGGGATCGCGCGGGGGAGGGCATTTCATTGGAATTGTCCTAAGTTGGGGGGAAACGTCGAGCAAGGGCAACAATTGCGTTGGGTTCCCGAGAGTTAACGAGGAATTGTTGCGACACGCGGCCGTTGTTTTGGGGGTCATCCCTGGTTTTAACAAGGAGGGTGGCTTGGGAAAGCTTGATGGGGGGCAGCTGCATTGGGGCTACCGCCTGCTGAAAGTCTAGTTAGGAAAGGCATTGTATTTGTATTCCGAGAGTTAAGAGGAAATTGTGGTTTTTGGAGCGGGAGGGGCAATTGTCACCAGTTGGGGCATTGCGTTTGGCTTCCAAGGGTTAAGAAGGAATTGCTGGTTTTTGAGGGGGGGCATGGGGGGGTTGGGGAATCGCGCGGGGGAGGGCATTGCATTGGAACTGTCTTCTGTTGGGGGGGAACGTCGAGTTAGGACAAACATTGCGTTGGAATTCCGGGAGTTAAAACGGAGTTGTGGCGACAGGCGGCTGTTGTTTTTGGGGTCATTTCTGGTTTAGACAAGGAGGGTGGCTGGGGAATGCGCGACGGAGGCAACTGCATGAGTCTAGTTAGGAAAGGCCTTGCATGATAATTTCGAGAGCTAAGAAGAAATTGGGCCGTCTTTGGGCAAACTGAGGATCGAAGGTTTTCTGGGCCCTACCGGCTCTGGCGTCGCA